TTAGAGGCCAGATCGGACCGGGTGCCGGTGGCGTGCGGGCCGGAGCTGCCCTGTCCGCCGGATGACGGCCGGGCGGCCCGTGGCGTGCCACAGCGGTCCCAGGAGACCACCTGTCACCGGCCACACCCCATCTGTCACAGCCACACCTCGCCTGTCGCCAGTCACGCCTCGCCTGTCACCGGCCTCAGGCGTCACCAGTCCCACCCCCATCTGTCGTAGCCATATCTCGCATGGTGCCGGTCATGCCTCACCTGTCACCGGCCTCAGACGTCACCGGTCCCACCCCCATCTGTCGCAGCCGTACCTCGCCTGGTGCCGGTCACGCCTCGCCTGTCACCGGCCTCAGACGTCACCAGGCTCACCTCTTCTGTCACAGCCACACCTCGCCTGTCGTCAGTCACGCCTCGCCTGTCACCGGCCTCAGACGTCACCGGGCTCACCTCTTCTGTCACAGTCACACCTCGCTTGTCGTCGGTCACGCCTCACCTGTCATCGGCCTCAGACGTCACCGGTCCCACCCCCATATGTCACAGCCGTACCTCCCGGTGCCGGTCACACTTCACCTGTCACCGACCCCACCCATCTGTCACACTCCATGTGTCACACCCCGTCTGTCACAACAACACCTCGGCTGTCGCCGACCACGCCTCACCTGTCACCGGCCCTACCCCACCTGTCACAGTCCAACCTCGCCTGTCGCCAGTCATCTTTTAACCTTTCACAAGTTACACCTCGCCTGTTACTTACTACTGATACCAGAGGTGCGCTAAAATCCCTAAAAAAATCCTGGAACCGGATCCCTAAGATCAAGGTTCCGAGATCTTGCGCGATCATGTATTTTTCACAAAAAATTGTCGAAGGATTGTTTGAAATCTTAGATCACTTTTGACATTTTGTCGAAGGGTTCTCTGGGATCCTGGATATTTTTTATTTTTATTTTCGAAGGATCTTTTAGTGTCAAGGATCATCTTTTAAATGTTGCCCGAGGAATTTCTGAGGTTCCGGATATATTTATTTGTTTGCACAATCGTCTGTGGGATCAATGGATCTAGCCTTTAAAAAAATCTGGGGGATATAGGAGTTTACTTTTAATTTCACCAAAATATTTTTAGGGTCCATATGTGATGTTGACATCCCGTCTTCTTATCGGTAATCATGTCGTATCTCACAACCAAAACTACGTGCCAGATCAACTTTCAGTATTGTATGATACAGTCAGTACTACCTACTATGCCATCCGTACCTTGCCAGCGATCCATTTATTTTCACTAACCACACGCGCTGGTTTTTGCCTCTCCATCCCTTTTTGTTCTCCATTCCCACCTGAATATTGATGTGTCTGCCAATTAATTATCAAAATCAGAGGCATCATCACGTCATACGTTCGATCTGAAAAAGCTAGGGCGGGGTGGGCCGATGACAGGTAGCACTGACCGCTCGACGATGGAAATAAGGAATCCAAACAAAAGCTTTGGTAAGTCATGACAACCTGTCTTCGTTTGTAAACCTGGACAAGTCTCACCAGCAATAACACTGTAATCTTAGTGACGGCCGGCACAGTGCTGTGCAGCTTTTGACATGGGTCTGGGATCTGACAAGCCGTGGTCATGCGCAGCTCCAAGAACAAGTTTTTCTTTTACGGATGTTACACGTACAAAACAAGGTTCCAGTGTGGCGATTGTCCATACCCAGCTTCGGCCCTGCTGTTACTGGGCACGCGGCGCGTCACATATCTATACCGTGACCGGAAGTGGCTCGCAAGTCCCAAGGTCCGTGCACCGCCGTGTTTCGGTCATTAGTAGTCGACAGCAGTCCCGGGTCCTGTGGACTTTATGGACCGGGGCCAGCCGATGATCCCACAGCGAGAGGCGCGACCATCCGGTCGTCCAGTGTTGGCCACCTGTGGGAAATAATGACTATCTTCCAAAAACCGGATGTTCCCTTCCAGCCCTGTCCTGTCAAGTGCAAAAGACGTGTTGATGGCATAGCAGGCGTATGTGTGTGTGTGTGTGCCATTGGGGTTTCACGACGCACTCAGCTGCTGAGGCTATATGGCGTCGCCTGCCTCTCACCCTGGCAGGAAGCGCGGGTACCGCGGGGAAGCACAGCAGGCGTAGTTAACAGTTGTGCTGGCATGTCCCATTTAAACCCAAAGCTGATGCATCTAACTGTAAATGACTACAGAATGTCAGTCAATTTGAACGTAAAATATTTTTTGACCGTTACCAGCCAACATCGATGAGACCATCGGTGTTTGGGTATTAGACTTGCATTGAAATCAATGAAAAAACTCCAGTAATTGATCATCTGTCTGTGGTTGTATCTACAGCAACTTCATATTCTGGATTTATTTCCTGCAATCCACAACCAGAGCTGGTGGTTCTAAGAAAAGACAGGGGTATCTACAAACCTCTCAACCAAAGGCCGTCTCTAGCGCATGCTGGACATGCGCTTCCTGCGACCAAACCACAATCTGGCGCAATCTTGGCACAATTAGTTTGAGTACAAAAACCAGTTTCACTTGTTTGACTTGACCACTACAAATGTGTGATGAGGTGGTTAGCTGATAGGTGAGTCCTAGCCCAGCGAGCCAGTATCTACTAGTATTTGCTGTAAGAATCTGCTGATGCTAATATGGTATGGACTGCAGACTAGATTATTGATTCATACCGCTTTAGGAAGTGCAAAGCCTACGCCAGCGATGCGCATACACTATCACTGCATCAAACCAGGTCTCAACCTGCGTTGCTTTATTCTTCGCCCAAAGATTGTTCTTTGTCCAGTTTATGACAGATACGAAAAGGTAACAAAAAAATCGAAATTGTTCGTGATCTATGTCAAGTGCTTTGAATTTGTATCATAAAGGATAAAAAACTCTTCATTAATCCGTGTTAATGCAACACAGTAACATTAATCTGTGTTAATGTAATACAATAACATTAATCCATGTTATTGTATCGCAGAATAAAATCATGCTGGATTGTTAACCACAACACTAACAAAAAAGAATGAGGACTTTATTTGTCATGCTGTCATGGCTTGCGTGCATAAATGTTCACGGACTACCTTACAACGCATTTCAGCAGTTCCTCTGGATTTGAATGTTGATATAACCACTAATACAGCTGTCAGAAGACGTTCTCCGTTTATTGCGATACACTATGCCAAGTGTTATGCCAGGATGTGGCAAGCTGTTTAACCTGAAATTTGCGATGGCAATATGTGTCAAAGGATCTTCCGGGATCCATGACGTTCTCTGAGATTTGTCAAAGGATTTTCTAGGATCCTGGAGCTTTTTGAAGTTTTGTTAAAGGATCTTCTGGGATCTGGGATTTAAAAGTTATCGTCTCAGAATCTTGCAACATCTGGGAGCCTCTTTTCGAGGGATCTCACAAGATCTGGGAGCCTTTTGAAATTTTGTCCAACTATCTTATGGATCTTGGATATTGGTTGGGGATCTAGGCATATGTCTGATCAAATCATCATTTACATTACATATCACCCAATGGTCCATCGTCTTTGCCAGGACATGCAAATGACCTGCCACCGTTTACAGACCAAGAATGACAGCGCTCACACTTGACCTTTCACGACCCGCACCCGACCTTTGGCCGCCCCGCCCCGCATGCGTCACTGGCGTTAAGTCGGTCATCGCCCACACCGTTCTTGAATCGGTTAACATCTGTGACGGTTGGCGATAGCGCTGCATCCATCAGCGTTTGATCGGACGTTAGCCGCCGCTGCGTCGGCGCTGTGCAGCCGGCAGCAGCTCGGCATCGGCCCGTGTCAGCGGCGCCGGCAGCAGCTCGGCATCAGCCCGTGTCAGCGGCGCCGGGGCAGCTCGGCCCCGTGCCGGTGCCGCCGACAGCAGCCCGGCATCAGCCCGTGTCAGCGGCGCCGGGGCAGCTCGGCCCCGTGCCGGTGCTGCCGACAGCAGCTCGGCATCAGCCCGTGTCAGCGGCGCCGGGGCAGCTCGGCCCCGTGCCGGTGCCGCCGACAGCAGCCCGGCATCAGCCCGTGTCAGCGGCGCCGGGGCAGCTTGGCCCCGTGCCGGTGCCGCCGACAGCAGCCCGGCATCAGCCCGTGTCAGCGGCGCCGGGGCAGCTCGGCCCCGTGCCGGTGCCGCCGACAGCAGCCCGGCCCAGGTCGGCCCCAGTGACGTCGTGCTGACCGAGCCAACAGCGCCGCCAGACCCTGCTCCACCCCAGCCGACCACGCGGACCGAGAGTGTACGACCCCCGCCTGAAGTTACGACAGGGCCGGCTCTGCTGGGAGCTCCGGGAGCGTCTGCAACGCCTCCGCTCCCGACGCTGTCCATCAGCGCCGTCTAGACTCAGCAACTCAACCGATCCCAGACTAAGTAACGGCCCGTGTAAATGTGCCTGCCCTCGCCGCAACGGACGCGGCCATCCGCGGCCAAGTTTGTGTGGAAAACTCACCGGTCCGAAGGCCCTTCGTACAGGGAAAGTTTGGATTTTTACACTTTGCCAAAAGCTTAGATATACCATAAAAAATTTAATAGCGAACAAAACACTCATGTGATACAACCAACACCGTTCAGAGCGAACCCGTGCGTGACGGTTGTGACTATTCTGAACTTGATTGACGAGTTTACGATGCCAAGCCATTCCATCAAAGCAGTGCTGGATGGCGACCAAAAAGTAAAAGGACCCTGAAAGCCACGCCTCCACTCCAATCCAACAGAAAGATGACATTGTAAGGATCGCTGCATCCACCTTTAAGCATGGGAATTGTCAAAAGTTCAACAAATTTTGCCGAGTTTACGGCTAGTTCACCCACTGTGATGCTTTAATTGCCGCCGCAAATTACAAGCGGCAGCGACCTCCACTAAGTGAATCCGAAGACAATTGCCGCTGCTGGTCACGAAACCTGAGGACTTTGCAAAGCCCTATGAATTCTGATCATAACACTCATGATGGAGAGTGACGCAGAATGCACACCGAGCGTCAAGGGAGCGCGAGCGTTATCTGCAAGCTTACCTGTGACGTCATGAACTCCACCAGGAACATGGCGTAGAAGACGCAGAGCCCGGCCGGCGTGACGTGGTTGCGCTGGATGACGTAGTGCAGGTGGTCCAGACAGTGCGAGATGTTGAACAAGCCGTCGCAGAAGGCCATGTACACTGCTATCCGCTCCCCTGCGGAAGCAAAAGGAGGCCGGAAACCAGAAGATCAGCGCAGGGGATCAATGGTCCCCTCCCCCACACTGTTGGTTAACATCGCCCTCATGAATGCAGTCCTCATGCCAAGCATAACGCATCGCTCTCATGGTCACCACACACGCTTAAGATCCCTACTGGCACCTTGCCAGGTGTTTTGGCAACTAGTCGGTGGTCTCGCTCGTTGGTCTCGATCGATTACGTGGCACCCGAACAATCATGCCTGAACCATCTTTAAAACGGAGGTAATTGGCACTTCGGCTCGGGCTTAAGCTCGCCGACTCTAATGGGCATGGGGGTGGGCCCCGGCAGCGCCTGGCAGAGCAGCGACGGCACGATCACAGAAATCACGCCAATCATTCTCTGTCCAGCCAAATGGAAAATTAGACTCGGAACCTTTTAAAAAGACAGTAGTGTTTCGTCGGATGGTGCTGAGATCACTACCGTCGCTGTGCTTTTCTCGTGGCGCGGACAGTGGTCTCGCGCCACCGGATTTCCTTTTCCAGTCGAGGATATGCGATGCCGTGGGAAGGAAAACGACGACACTCAGCGCGCCTGCCGCTGGCCGCGCCCCCGGGACAGGCGCCATCGCCATCGCTGTACCCCAGGACCGGCGCCATCGCCATCGCTATGACCCGGGACGGGCGCCATCACCGATCTGGGCCCCCAGACCAGCGCGATCACCATCGCTGTACCCCGGGACCGGCGCCATCGCCATCGCTGTGCCCCGGGACCGGAGCCATCACCATCGCTGTGCCCCGGGACCGGCGCCTTCACCATTGCTGTGCCCCGAGACCAGTGCCATAGCCACTGTCGCGCCGGCATGGCACTACGGCAATATCAGTAACAGCTTGGGTGGCAGTTTGGGGTGCACGAGAAAAGCGTAAAAAATTCACTAAGCGTGACGTCAGGAAACATGTTTTATGTCAGTGTAAGTTCACTCTTAACACCCGCTCGGGTGGGGGTCAAATTGACCCCCCTCCCTCGAAGGTTTTTCCAGAGTGGTTTGCGAACGGTGCAGCATTGCCTCGCCAAATTTTGCATAACATTTGACAATTGAATAGTAGATCGTTTTGTATTAAAAATTTAGTTCTTATCTGTAAGGTCGCTGACCTACGGCAGGTCAAAGTCAGGCCATGGATTCTACGAGGTCAATTTCTAGGAAATCCTTCAATCTGGCGCAACAACGGAGTGCTAGACAAAGCCAAACATCTCTGAGATATTTTCTTAGGCAACACAACAATTGAATGAACAACTTCCATTGATCTAGGGTCAGTTTTAAAGGTTAGACCAAAGTAAAAACCAATCTGGTTTATTACTCTAGGGCTTGCTGTATGAGGTAATTTGTGGTGCTCATTTCGAATTTATTGATAACAAGTACCGTATTATATATCTCTCATGGAATTATCAAAGGTCAGAATAGGTCACTGACGTAAACTGACTCAGGTCAACATTTTGTTTTCAAGAACATCTTGCCTAACGTAATCCTTACGCTTTTGCAAGTGCAAAACTCAAAGCAGAATTGTATTGTTTTGGTCACCGTGACCTTTGAAAGGTCAAAAAAGTCAATGACATTAAAACGAGCATGTGACCTTTTGCTTAGAACAGGTATCTAGGTTCTGGGAACACTTAGGAGACCAACCAACCAACCGATATTCACCTTGTTTGAGCTCATTTGACCCGGAGGTCATGACCCAGGAAACTCAAAATTTGACTTAAGTGAGTTTAGGCACAAGCCAACACACACTGTCAAGTTAGTGTCTCTAGCTCTCTCAGTTCCTGAGATCTCGGTGGGGGATCAAATTGCCCCCCCCCCTTTCACCCAGTGAAGGGCATGCAACCGGTAACCCGGGTGCGCGTTAATGTTTCGAAGTATATTCCTTGTTTACTGTCAACCTAGTGAAAGTTTCAAGCCAAATCGGCTCTCAGTAGCGGAAAGGAATCCACTAATACCGGGTCACTGTCAAGATAGCTTCGTATCCATATACACATCATATTTACACTCCGATACGAACCCCCGCGCCTTAGCTCAAATTGTCGCTAGTAGTGTAGGGCTCGACATGCTGAGATTACGATGGCGCTCCTCGCGTTAAGCCACCTTCATGTGATTTCCTGTGGTTTAAGAGGTTCACGGTTGTCACTCGTACCAATAAGACGTTTTTTTTTCTTCTGAAAATCATGTCGATATTAGAGCTAGATATGTTGATAACGTTTGTGTGTCTCGTTACGAGCGCATTCAAAACTATGATCATACTGCTAAAATTCATACAACCAGCAATATGAAACATGGTGATTACGATAATGCATCTGTTTTTCGCCACTTTAAGAAACACGGCCGACAGTTGTCTACAAAGTTAAGGTCGTCAAACATGAACCGCTATTTTCTTCTGAAACTCACGTAGGTAATGAACTTTGACACGCTGATTATTATTGTACATATCGTTTTATCATGCATTCCAACTATGACTACCGGAAGTGTACAAGGTTCAAGGACGTTACACCCGGAGGCCGGCGATTTGTCTCAAACTTTCACTCAATAATGGTGTCTGACATGCTAATTATGCTGATGCATCTCGCTTCGAGCCACATTCAACTTACGAGCTCAAGATACATGGGGCTAGGAACAGGGGGCAGAGGCCAAGCCCCTACCCCCCATTTGTAAAGGGGAAGGTACGTGACATTCGTCGTGAACCAGTCGAAAGCCTGAAAGGTTCGGGACTCTAAGACAGCACTGCTGGAAACGGGATATTCAAGCGTGTGAAGGACAGCCTTTGCAAACCAGACCAGTTTTCTCATTCTTTGTATCTGCCTCAGCCATACTTCCCGAGTGGTCAAAGACATGGAAGGTACTTGAGATGATATAAGACACTAACTGAACAGCCTTTGGAGACTGGTTTCAAAAACATTCCTCAGAGCACAGCCGATACACCACAATTCTCCTGCTTCGTTGCTGCCTTGTGATGGTCGTCCCAACTCCCCTTTTCTATGAGCCTTTTTCTTTCCACACCCCGCGAAGATAGCTAAAGCAGAGAGGCCGGATTTCCTCAGACCGGTCATTTCCCCGGGACTTAAATGTCATTGTGTTTCATGACCTACGTCTGGAGGCCTACCGGGAATGGAGCATAGGAAACTTGTTTTTTTCAACAATGCGTACATTACGTTGCACATTTGACCTGACGGCCATTATCCGACGGCAACTGACCCACTGAACTTGTCAAGCTCAGAGAAGTACCGCAGCATTAAATACCACGGGGATCACACATATCCCTCAATTTTCCAAAGAGCTTTAAGATCCCGAAAGTTTTTCGAGAAAAAAGTTCAAGAAAGACTCCAATTCTTGCAAAATCTATCAACAACATTTAAAAAGATCCTATAGGCCAGCAAATCCTTTAACACGCTTCAAAAAATCAAGGTCCTAGAAGATCCTTCTACAAAAATGGAGAAGATCCTAGTTCCCAGAAGGTCCGTTGGCAACATTTGAAAAGGCCCAGGATCCCAAAATATTACAAGATCTAGTAGTCCACAATATATTGTGACGCCTAGTGTCAGGTGCAATTTTTAGGTAAACCAAATTATCACATCCTGACGCACCACTCAACATGGTTTCTGTATCCCCACTGGCAAATAATGTTATGTAACACCTGTGGCAATGGCTATATCAACCTTCAAACGCAGGGCAACTGCTGGAATATGTTAGAAAAAGTTCTGTATAAAATTCATGCACAACCCCTGTTACCATGACAAAAATTATGCTCTCATTACTTTTCGTGACTGCTTTGCCAAGACAACATCTGTATATTTAGCAAGGTAACAGCGATGGGTTTCTAAGTGATGCTGCAAAATTTAGGTTTATGAAATACAAAAGCTCTGAAGGCTTCTGGAGAAATAAAAATTTAACCTTCCCAATACAAAACTTGAAAAAATAAAGAGCAGCTTGATGTGACGAACAATACAAAATGGTGTCTTTTGGTATCTGTCATGAACTGGACTTAACCACGTTGTCGGAAAAATAACAAGGAAACGCAGGTTCAGATTTGGTTTGATGCCACGACAGTGCACAGGCATCACCATAGTAGGCTTCGCACTCCCTAAAACGTATGAATCAAAAGCCTCGTGTGAAACGATACAACATTGTAATCCGCAAATACACCAGACACTTTTTAATAATTACTCCTTCATTAAGCTTCATGAAGCATGTAATGCTATGAAACACCATTTTACCTCGCATACGTTGCCAGCCAGTTCATATCAACCATCTCATAAACACGTAGTGCGGCTGTCATTAGACTGCGAAGACGTTGTATCGTACCAACGCTTTCAGCTGATTGCACGGTAACGTCACGAAACCACACATCACTGTAAACCAGTCAATAATGCCTCACCCGGCCGCACGGCACGGACGGAACCAGACGGGATCCGACAAAAGTGGGCAAAAGCGGACGAGACACGATCGGGCGGGGCCGGGTGGAACATAATGAGACTACACGGGATCGGATGGCATCGAACGAACCGGACTGGCGGGACGGGATCAAGGGAGCCGGGATGTGATCAAACCAAACCGGAAGGGATTACATAACATCGAAGGCCACCGAACGTAGCTTATCAAAACCGGACGGGATAGAAAGGGATCGGACAGGACCAGACGGCGTCGGATGGAGCGTGATGAGCCCAGACGAGACCGGGTAAGATTGGAGGAGACCGGTCTGGACGGGACGAGGCACGGGACTCGACGGTGCCTCATGGGACCTGACGTGATAGGACGGGACTGGACGGAACCAGATGGAACTGGACGGGACTGGAAGGGGCGAGAAAGAGCTAGACAGAACAGGACGGAGCCGAACGGGACAAGACCAAACCAGACGGGAGCGGGCGGTACCAGACCACGCTGGACAGAACCAGATGAAACCAGTCAAGGCCAGATGGGACTAGATGGGACCGTACCGGATCGGACGAGATCAGACTGGGCCTGTTTAGTCCTG